TTCCAATATTTATTGTTTGACACAAGTGTAGTTTTTTTAGTCGTGAAACTGAACATTTCAGCGTATCTTACGTTTTATTTCCAAGACTTATTATATAAGTATGGCGTGTTGCTATTTGTGCTCTGTTGATATAAAAAACCACGGTAGAGCTTATACCATTTTGTTGTGCACTGTAAGAAATTCCTGATCATATTACGTTATGACTATTGGGTTCCTCATTCGCAAACTCTATTCCACCGTAAAATTCATTTTTAACAGATAGTATTATACATATAGTATAGATAGTATTTTAACAGTAATAGTTATTTAATTACAGGGATTCATTGATTCTATGGTAATTATTACTACAAAAATGACGGTACGTTTACCGGGATAATAGCATGTTTCAGTAAAATGGATTTTACGGTACAAATTGCCGGTGCTTTTTACCGTAATTTGATACGGAAGTTTTTAAAGTGTATACTTAAAGTTATCTTCAAACGTCTGAGCAAAATAATGACTTCTTTTAGTTTCAATGAATACTAAAGTCAGAAAATTGCTAGTTTGAATTATTTCTAGACATAATTCAGAAATAAGCAGTAGCGTGTTTTAGTGAATCTGAACTTCTTAAAGTGGATAAAACTGGCTTTTTAAATTTTATGAAACATAATTGGATGACAATTACATGTTAATTGCAAGTTTATTTTTCAACTTATTACGTGAGATTTTAATGCACATATTTCTAGAGTTATACTAGATTTTTCAATTTTCTCAAGTAACTATGTATTTAACAGGTTATTACTTCCTGATTGATTCTTTGATATTAATAATTTATCTAGTTTAATGTAGGGAAACAGTACGAGAATGCTTATAAAACAATTAAGAATTTTCTGCATTTTAAAATGTCGGTAAGCATTCCGTTTAACAGTTGATAGTATTATGGAATTTGTCTTATTCTAGTCTAAGTATTAAAATTAATTTGAAAGTATTATTATACTGATATTATTAATTTATTTTATTCACTATTAAAGGTGCTTCAATTCCTTATATTAATTACCTTTTTATAATATATATGTTTATTGAATTTATAATCTAAACAAAGTTTTTTGAGGCATAGTCACAAAACACGTTTTTTTTCCCTAACAGCAGGTATTGAATTATTATTATCATTATTATTATTATTATTAGGAAATTAGAATTATTATTAGGTATTGTCTCTGAAGATGCGGGAATTGTTGCATATTTAGCAATATCTGCTAGGTGCATGCGAACCTAAGTCACCTACGAGATACTGCCTTAGATCCAATCGCAGGGTGGGCCATATTCATGCATCACACAACTGAGGATAATACACGAAGAGAAACATCCATGCCCTGAGCGGGATTTGAATCCGCAACCATTGCCATTGCTATCAGGAACGTTGACCACTCAACAACCAGGCCGGCTATCAGAAAAAAAACTCAATGAGTATTTCGAAATATTTGGATGACAGGCAGTCTGTAACAGGGATGGGCAAACTTTTTTGGTCGTGGGCCAAAAATCTAGAAAAAAAAGTTTGGTGGGCCGAGTAAAAACTTCTGAAATAAAATAAAGTCAATTCATCATTGAGTGCATGTCACTCTACATCAACTTCGTGATTTTTAGTTGCCATTTTGGGATAAAAAATGTTTACAAATAACTCAAAAAGGCAGTAGCCATTTTATACATTTAATAATTTCACCATTATTTACAATGACGTTGTGTGTGTGCAATCTTTCCATGCGCAGTAAATTATGTTAGAGCTCGAGCCGACAGAAAAATCCGTTCGTTGGAACTTAAAACGCGTAGTCAGCCTCATGTGAAGTACAATTCACCTATATTAGATTCCATATGTCTGCTCCTCGAGAAAGACAAATACTAGTTGGAGCTAATCTACAGCTATTCTATAAAGAACTTTTGATTTCAACATTTTACCAGTTAAAGCTGTTTGTGCTAACTATTTTAATTATTTATGCTTTGTGGAACAAAAATAGAGAAAGTGGAAAGGTCATCAGTACTTTGTTAAAAAAGAAAGAACAAAAATAGCTTTAAACAAAGTAGATATATTCTCCACTGATCAGCTAGTTAAAATTCTGTCCGCGAGCCGGATAAAATCTGCGGGCGGGCCACAGTTGGCCCGCGGGCCGTAGTTTCCCCATCCCTGGTCTATAAAATGAATTTCGGATTATCCTGTATTCTGCTTATTTACAAAGCAGCTTTTTTTTAACTGAAAAATTTATTTTCATATACTTTGCTGGAAAGTATCAGATATTATATAAATATCGGATCTAAATCATGATTATATCAACAATTTAAATAAAGGCAAACAAAATTCACTAAAAGTTAAATAGTATTTGAAAGATTTTGATTAATCCTCTATACTGCTTAATTACAGAGCAGCTTCTTTTCAACTAGAAAATTTCTTTTTATATACTTTTGCCTGAAAGTATCAGATATTATATAAACGTCGGATCTAAATTATGATTATATCAACAAATTAAATAAAGGCAAACAAAATACACTTAAAGTAAAATAGTATTTCAAAGATTTAGGAATTTTTTTATCAGCTCAAAATTCACCATAAATCCATTTTAGGAGTATTTATCTAGTACAAAGAAACCTAGAAATAAGTACAAATATATCTTTGACCTTAATAGAATTCCTAACCCTAAATGCCATTCATAGAGTAATAAACAAGTAATTGTTCTTTTCCATAAACATTCCCCGAATTCATTTACCAAAAGAATTCCGGTATCTTACTTAGAAACAAAATGAGTTGCGGATAAACACTTGGAACGTAGGCCGTAATTATCTTCAAAAATAAAAGATTTCCAAGTTCCACAAATGGGAAAACATAAAGATTACTGATTTTCGCAATAAACACTTCAACTAAATAAAGAAAAAATAAAAACGTCTATCTATAATCAGAATATTAGCGGGAAAAATCGAATCATTTCCATTTTCTTAAGTCTCATCATTCCCCTTTTTCTGAGGAATTTTTATCCTAGTAATCCAGAAATCAATCTGTGCTTGGGTAGAGGGCGAGTAAATACCTCTCTCTATCTAGTCCAGATAAAATCCGTATCCCAGAATGTCAGTCAGAGGAAGAAGATATCTATAGTAAAATGGAAATTGTTCTTTTCCATAAACATTCCTCAACTTTTCTTTCTTTTGTACCCCCTCCACCTTTTCCGCAAAGCAAAGCCAGATACATTGTTTGAAGAATCGATGATTTAGTCTCGCTGACTCAAACTTCTGTTCAAAGGAAATTTATTTTTTCCTTAGGATTTTTCTGAGTTGAAAGAGTTGAGTTTTGAAAGATGAGTTGTAATTGTCTGGCATCCAGCCAAGTACCTTTTGGAGTTTTTGGTTAAGCAGAGAAAAAAAAATCCCGATTTCTTCTGAAGCATTCCCGCTTACGAGTTTCTCAAAAAGACAAAGAGATATTGTAGATAACGTTTTTGTTTTTGCTACTAAGGATGTACTTTCTGTATCAAATTTGGGGAATAATTGTAGTTTAATGTAGTTAATTTTGAAAGAGAGCAGTTACTACAAAATTCTCGCATTCAAATTTTGATGAGCAGATTTTTAATTATCAGATTGTAATAAATAAATAAATTTTATTCTCTACTTAAGGTGTCTATTTAATACTGAGAGGATGATAAATGCAAAAAATATGGACAATTTTGCATTTAAAATACTAAATACTTTTAACATCATAAGACTTGGAAACGACGCAAATTACTGAAAAAGTAACCATTACAAAACCACCGTCTATATTTATCGATAAATAAAGATAATCTATTTTAATTTCTATTATTTGCGCTACAATCACTTTCAGAAGAAAAGGTGAAATACGAGAATAAATGGTATTTTATTTGTAATTTTATAACCGTCGTTGTACAGCCAGCCCAATTTTGGGTTTACGACTGCTAATATTCAACTCCGTATCCTTGTAATTTTGAACCCAATCCAGAAGACAAGAGAACTCCCGAATCGAATATTGGAAAAAATTTGCCTTCGTGGAGGATTTTTTCATGGAACTAACCCTCTTTTGCGATACATGGAGAGGAAAATCACGAAAAATCACGAAATCATCTCATTCCAAACCTGATGGCAAGGGGGCTCTAACTCACGATCCGTCTACCACTCAGGATATTTTACGTCAGCATTGTGGTCGGTGAGAGCCGGGTGGGGAATTCGTATCGACCAATCATTACTGGGATTCGAAGTTCATCTCATTGGAAGGCCCCTTAACCACCACGGTATTTTATAGTTACCTTCTCTCATATTTGATTTAAAATTTCAACATATATATATATATATATATAAAAATANTATATATATATATATAACGCCACTTCTGGACTTCGTAACTGCCTGAATTCGGTTAGGAAGGGAGAACACAAGGTACTGCAGAAACATCGCATTCAGTTTAAACCACTAGTTTAAAATTTAATGCTTCAAATACACTAAATTGTAAAAATTCTAATATCGGCATTTTACTCACTCTCCGCAGTTCATGGCAGGTGACTCGGCATTCCAATAAAAGTATTATAGAGTGATTTCATGAAACCAGTCATACATTCCTGGAGCACGATGAACTTTCTGTTGTCATTTTTAAAAATAGGAGAATCAGCAGCAATTTTAGATGTTCTCCTAAATACAAGACTTGCTCATTCAGAATGCTAAAATTTATTACATGTTAGAAAAATACCTCTAAAACGCCAAATACATTAAATTAAATTAAGTTATTCATAACTTTCCTAGGGTTGACTTACTTTTATCTTGCGAGCTTAGCTTTCGTTTAAAATATAGTTATAGGAAATATAAGACGTTGAATTTTAGAAAATTTTAAAAATAATTTAAAACTTCAAGCAAGTATCTTGTAATAAACTGGATTATCACTGTATTTGTTGCAACTATTTTCGACTTTTACAAATTATTGACATTTAGATTTCTGTATACAATTGAACTTAAAGTTATCATTTCTTCTATTTCAGAAATCAGAAACAAAATCAATGGTGATGTTTTGGTGCATCTTGGTGTTGCCTTTTCTACCAGCGTCAAATTTGTTTGTCACCGTAGGGTTTGTAGTTGCGGAGCGAGTTCTTTATATTCCAAGGTACTTTTTATAGTTCATCTCTTAAATTATAATCCTTTAGCTTGATTACAATTAGATGAGTAGTTAATCTGAAATTAGATGAGTTAATAATTATAAAAATAATTCTGGTTAATTGAAACATAATATATGGTAGTTAAGCCATTCATTTGTTAATTTTTCCTTTCACATGGTAGTGGTTTACCCAGAATTCTGGTTCTCAAAATTAGATTTTTTTGTAACACGCAGTTATTAAAAAATACAAAACTGAAAAGTAAATTTAACCAAATAAATAGTTTTCATGCCATGCTCTAAGATATCATGATAAAATCACAAATTTATCACATTTACCAAATTTTAACACAATATATAGAATCATACTTTATAATGAATTTAACCAAAATCATAACCAAACTCTGTATAAATATAATGTGTAATGTATAAATTTTGTTATCACACTTTCCAGTATTTTTTTTCTTTTTTTGCCTTTTTGGTCAAACTAAGTAGTTTCACAAACCCATAATATAATTTAGAATACACTCAATGCACTTAAAAAATAATTATCATTGCCTTAAAAATAAGCACAAAAATTCCCAGTATATTATTCATCATAAAATCCCTTAATCGGCTTCAATTATATTTATGTCATAGTATAAATGTAAGTAAAACGGAATGTAAAACTTTATTTAAGTAGTTAGAAAGAAGGGCAGTAAAATTAAAGTTTGAAAAATTCTACAAATAATACCGAAAATATAAAATACATGGAAAGCTTTAAATAAAATTTTAAATACGCTGACTTTGTAGTAAAATGAAATAAACTTTATAGCATCAAAAGTTTCTAATTTAATAAAAGCTACTTTGCTATACTAATAACTTACTGAGGATATTAAAGTAAGAACTGAGTTCTTAGAAATGATAAATACCAGACATAAAACTTTATTATGATGAGCACAACGTTTAAACTGCTTTGTTAAAATAAGATTCCAATTGGATTTCAAGGAATATATAAAATTTATAAAAATCAATTACGAAGCGTGCATCATTAAATATTGATAAGATTTCAATGAGGAATATATTAAATATAGATAAGATTTTAAGATAAGTGGATAAAATAGAAAATCATTGATATACAAGAAATATGTTGATGCATTAAGATTCCTTAATCAAATCCTTATGCTGAAAGTAAGCCACAACAGAGCAAATGAAAATATAATATTAAAAATGTTTCAAACGTACATACAACGTAACAAATATATATATTTCCACCCTAATGAGATACTTAAAATTTATTGATACAAAATATATTGAAAAGCTCTTCATGGAAAACGAAGTTTTTGATTTATCCTTTCTTAAAAAGTTGAAAGAGAGAAAAAATAATGTTAGACATAAAAATAAGAAGCAAGTCTTTACGAGTCTGAAAATCGAGAAAACTGTAGTAATTTCTTTTAGAGTGGAAAAAAGAATTAATGAAAAATGCTATAATTTGCGCTTTTTTGTCTATTATTTTCTGGAAAAATAACCTCAGTCAAATATCACCAAAGGTGAACTTTAAGGGGTAATATCTGTTAAGAGAAGTTCTTAAAAAGATATTTGGATACACTGCTTAAAACCATTCTACTTTGGTACTGTGATCCAGTCTACATAAATACTAGACTTAAAACTTTATTATGATGAGCACAACGTTTGAACTGCTTTTTTAAAATAATATTTTATTTAGATTTCCCTGTAATGTATAAAATTTATTTAAAGCAATTATGTAATATGCATCATTTACAAAGATATTTATAAGAAAAAATCAATGATAAACAAGAAATACATTAAGATTCCTTACTCAAATTTGTATGATAAAAATACGATGACACTAAAACCGAAAATATAAAGAGAAAAATGCTTAAAGTGAACAGACAACCTCAAAATTTTATTTTTTACTAATGAGCTACTTAAAATGGATTGATATAAAATATATTGGAACGCTCTTCATAGAAAGCGAAATTTTCGACTTATCTTTTCTTAAAAAGAAGAAAGAGAGAAAAAATATTGTGAGATATAAGAATAAAAAGCCAGACTTTACGAGTCAAAACATCGAGAAAACTGTAGCAATATCTTTTAGGGAGGAAAAAAGAATTAAAGAAAAATGCAATAGTTGCGTTTTTTTGTCAATTATTTTTCTTTTCTGGAAAAATAACCTCAGTCAAATAGCTCCAAAGGTGAACTTTAAGGGGTAATATTTGTTTGGAGAAGTTTTTAAAAAGATATTTGGATACACTGCAAACCATTCTGCTTTGGTACTACGTTGAAACTTGTTTTTCAATTGAGTATCTCAATAAACACTTTTTATTTCTTAAAAAACGAAGAAGAAATAAGAAGTGAAGGTTCTTAAATTCTTTTCAATTCAAATGGGAGAATTAAATAAAATGATTCTAAAATTAAATTTAGAAAGCATGCTTGAAAATTCATTTAAAAATATATTACTGTTAAAGATAACCATCAGTAAACTGCATCAATTTTAAAAATCAGCTAATATAAGGGATGTTCAGAAAATCATGGAGGATTTGAACTCTGCTCCTATTTGCGCAATAAAGTGTTGACAACAAAAAATATAACACTGCGGAATAGCTGATATTTTCATCGTTATTAAAAATGAATCGCTGTGCGAATGATTTAGTGGCCATTAAAATAGGCCACTTAGAACATACCATTTAACGGTATAGGAAAAAGATTTAGGCAAATTTTTTAGTGCAGTAAAAAATTCAGCCCTTTTTCAACAAAATCCAACTGCATTTATTATCATAGATGGCCATTAAAAATTTGGACAAAACAAGGACTTTTTAACACTGTAGCTATATGACACAATAATAAATGTAATATAAACTATATGAATCAATACAAAATGTAAATTTGAAAAAAAAGTGATTTTAATTTCAGGCTTAAAATTTCAAGAACTATGAGTAAGATTGTACTATGTATCTTTGAAAAAAAATTTGCAAAATGAAAATATTTTGGTTTCATTTATAAAGCTTTAATGAATATTTAGTTTCCTTTTTTTCTTTCCTAAATTATAAGAAAACGTTTGAATCGTAAGAAGTAAATATTTTCACATTCTTTAAATTAATGTATTTTTTAATGTCAATCAAAAGCTTAAAATAAATGAACTTCGGTTAAATAGTTTTCGATAGAAAAAAAATTAAAGTGATAGTTTAATGTATCGGAAACTATTCAACGTAATTTGTCTATCTTTTACTTTTTATAATTTGAATACGTGGCTCATAGCTTAGCGATCTAATTGACCTTTTTTACAGAAGCCACCGTTTTACATCAGTAATTCCGTTACATTCTATATTTTCATATTAGTATTTAGTTAAATGAAGAAATAAAGAATTTAACTATGATTATTGTGGCTGCGTCAGATTTCTAAATCAGAAAACGGATTACACTTTTTTTAAAAAAATTAATTTCTGTAACAATATGTGAATCATTTGCAATTTTGCTTGTAGCGAATAAATAAACTAAATTAAATACATTTTCGATTTTTATAATTTCCTCATTGTCCTTCCTTAATTACAAATATTTTATTCATTTGTTTAATTTATAACCGTGAATTTTTTCTTCAATAAATGAATTGTTTTTTAACAAGTAATCTAGTTGAAGTTATTCAACAACTTTTACAGTATCCGTTACAAAAATCTCAAATTTTTACCCTTGTAGCTATAAATAACTACCAATGCAAAGATTTTATTTTAAAGACTGCATGAAGATGGTAAAATTACGGTACAGGTATGGTAATGACATCCCTGTTAAAAAACGTAACTCTGGTTATAAAATCAACATATACGGTACCTAAATTAATTTGGTAATTTTTCCTTTAGTTTGTTAACGGTTTACCGAAAACTCCGGTATTCAAAATTACAGTTAGTAAAATTACAAAACTGAAAAGAAAGTTTAATCAACTGAATGGCTTTTATGCTGTTCCCTAAGGTATTATGATTAAATGACATAATTTTACGACATTTACAACCAAGCAGCATGGTAACAAAACATTATTTTCTTGTTAATTTTACTATACAGTTATTACTAGAGCTTTGGTGAATATTAAAGTGCTTTTTGGGGCTTTTATAAAATCATGCCCAATTCCGCGTGAAATATGACAGAATCAGAAACACGGTAAATTTTACCATACTCTGGTAGTTCTAAACATACTTTTTTTATCACTGTTCAACACTCTCTCGTATTTAATGTTTTAAAGGTGTCTGGGATGCAAAAAGTTTGAAATTTTTGGATTTGTATTGTTATTTTAAGAAAAAGGGTTATTATTTTCTCCAAAATTGGCAAAAATTTTGTATATATCTGAATTTGAACGAGCTATGAGAATGCTTTTTTTTCCTTCTAATGAATTTCAAATGATATCTAAATTTGATCAGTTTTTCGTCCCGATATGTTTTTCACATTTTTTCAACTTTAAAGTCTTTAACTTAGATAATAAGGAATAACGAATAAAGATTTAAATTTTTTTATAGTTTACTTTTATTTGTTTTAAAGAAATTTGAAAATTTTTAAAAATAAAATCTTTTTTTAACCCAATCAAAAAAAATTATGCAACTAATATTATTGTTTGAATCCCTAACAAAGAAATATGTTGAAGACACGTTAAAGCACAAGTTATTTTTAATAAAAAAATCAAAAAGTGATTATTTTTTATCACAGTCATGTCATGACAGACAAAAAATTAAAAAATAACAATTTCAGAAATTTTTGAAATATTTATTTATTTAAAAGATTCCACAGAAAACTTGAGATTAAATTTTGTGTATTATTTTAATTGGTACTAGATAAGAACAATGAAAAAGTATCTATGTACTTTTAAAGAAGTTTCCACAATATGTCTAGTACACTGTAAAAAATTCAGGATCAAATTACGGTATAAAGTACCAGCACTTTAGGTGCAACATTCGTAAAAGCAATTTTTACCATAAAATATTATACCGTAATTTTTCCAGTAATATTTATTTTATATAAATGATTTAGTAGTTTTATGGTAATTGATACTGCTTAAATAACGCTATATCATATATTTTGTTTCGTTATATAACATGGTAAAAATGGATGATTTTACGGTAAAAAGTACCGGCACGCTGAGTGCCAGTACTTTTAACCGTAATTTGATCCGAGATTTTTAAACTTTACTTTAAGTCTAGCCTATACTCAAATGTTTTTATTGTTTTTATTGTTTGTTTATTTTGCTTATTCGTATAAAATATGAAATAAAATATAGTAAGCATTTAATTGTTATGTTTTTTAGCATTGGATTTTGTTTGCTGATCACTTACGGATTAAGAAAAATGCGAAATAAAACATCAGTTCATTGGCCATTTCAAATTGGTATTTTACTTCTGATAGTATTGTTCACAACAAGAACTATTATAAGAAACAATGATTGGAAGACAAGAGAATCCCTGTTCACGTAAGTTATTGCTGCATAATTTTTTCCTAACAACCAAAAATATAAATTACTAGAATTTAAAATAAATTTATGAGATACGCTTTTACACCTTGAATTTATACGTTACGACCAATTTTCTATCGTTATGCTGAAGTTCTATCGTTAATTTTCTCTCGAGCGAGAAAATAGTCATAAACTTGTTTTTGCATTTATAAGAAATTGCTTGACTGATTTCTAAATTGACGAAATTATAAATGAACAAATTATTATGATTTGTAAGAACAGTAAAAATTATAGGCTCATCTTGATCGGCTAAGGTTTAAAACAAATACAAAAATAGAAAATTATGCATAAATTACTAAAATATAATATAAGTTCGTATAAAAAGAGAGAGGACCGTATAACATTTATCGGAGTTGTGATAAAACACGAAAAAACACAATAACGAAAATAATACATAAATTGTTAAATAATAGTGTTTTGAAAAACAATAGACAGAGGCTCCTTTAATCGGATATGGGTCAAAACACACAAAAAAAATTAGTACACAAATTACGAAAACAATGCGCTTTGAATAAGCGGATACATAAAAAGCTCACCTTGATGGGATAACTGTCAAAATATAAAAGAAATGAATTATTACTTAAATTATTAAATCATTGTGCTTTGAATGAGTGGATAAAAGAAAAGCTCAACTTGATCGGATAAAGTTTAAAACACACATAAAAAGGAAAACTTATACATAAGTTACGGCAGTATAGAGTAAGAACGTATAAAAAGTAAGAGGACCGTATAACCTTTATTGGAAGTGTATTAAAACACGAAAAAATACGGTAGCAAAAATAATACATAAATTGTTAAATTAAAGTGTTTTGTAAAGCCGATAGAAAGTGAGAGGCTCACTTTGATCGTATATTTGTCAAAACACAAAAAAAGAAATTATCGCACAAATTAATGCAAATAATAATTAATGCAAATTAATATAAATTCCACCTGCAATCATTGTGTTTTGAATGAGGGGAGGAAACAGAAGCTACCTTAATGGAATAATTGTCAAAGCATACAAAAACGAAAATTTACGTTAACTATTAAAGTATTGTGTTTACAAAAAATTGATAAAAGTGAAAAGGTCACCTTGATCGGATTAAGATTAAAACCCAAAACAGGAAATCATTAAAAATACTATTATCAAAAACTGACTTTTTTTAAACAAAGCAGATATACAAGAAACAAAATATTTTACGAAGATAAAAGGTTTTCTGCAGTTTCAGTATATTTCAATTAAATTTTTAAAAAAATGTTTCAGGCATATAAAGAAATCCTATAAAGAAAAGAGCTTGAACTGTTGAACTTCATCATAAATATTATGCCACCAAAGAACAAAATTTAATAACTTCCAAGCCATTCCATTAAGTTCATTCAATTTATTCCTCTCTTTTATTCGGCAGCTTGATTTGACAGAATCTTTATTTTATTTTCCTCAGATTCAATAAAGATAAAGAATTTCGAAACATAATTTTAATTGGGAGAGAGGAAAAAGCTTCAAAAATTTTGATATGTTTCGTCAATAATTACTTTAGATTTTTCCTAATATGGCGCGCATTAAATTCAACGTCTTTAAAATATTATTTAGAAGAGACAATTAAAACTTTTAGGATGATTTTGCTGTAAACAATCTTTAGAAAAAGAATTTTTAATCCGTAGAGCAATTTAATTTTACCTTCGAATTTATTGAAAAATTAAATTTAATGTAAGGAATTTAAAATTTTATAAAAAACCCTGCTTAAAGCATTTGCCTTAAACAGCGATTGAAACACATGGCCTAAAATCTTCGAGTTATGAAATGTGAAAAGTATGCATTAAAAAAATATGTGTATATCACAAAATCATTTTAGAAGAATTTTCAAAAGCATTCCAAAATGCTTATTTAAACTTATTTAAGCCATTAATTCAATTTCACCTTCGAAATATGGCAAACAATAATTATAGAAAAAGAACAGTGGGTTCTTATAATTTTGGTAGTATAAATAAACTTATCTAAACTATCCTTATTTTAAGCAATTGTAAAACACTTCCTTACCCAACCTGCAACCGCAAAAAAAAACAACAACTTTCAATCAAAATCTAGTAGTTTTTTGCCCATATTATTGCAAGTATTCAAAATTGAAACAGTTTTCCTTAAATTAGATTGAAATAAGTAGCTAAGGGGCAAGCAAAACTAAAAAGAAAACGATACAAATGATTCTTAATGCAGCTGAAATTAATCCAAGCCTAAGGCCATGCGATACATATGTTTTTGGCTACATTAACATGCACATGCTGTTTCAAAAATACTAGGTATTTTTAGAAATCAGGATTTGTATAAAAAATTTAGATAAAATTTAATTATCATCGTTCTTTGCAAATCTCAAAATGAATATTAATGAATATTAATAAATATTAATAAATATTAGTAAATAATAACTTTTTACAAATATTACCTAAAACGAAAAACTTAAATAACTATAATATATTATAATAACTATAACAATATAAATAATAACTATAATAATATAAATAATAACTATAATAACTATAATAATATAAATAATATCTGTAATAACCATAATAATATAAATAATAACTATAATAATATAAATAATAACTATAATAATATAAATAATAACTATAATAACTATAATAATAAAAATAATAACTATAATAAACTATAATAGAACGCTATTGGGAAGCTAGAGGCATGTTGTGATTAATAGACTTTGTTGTAGCATCTTTTGTTTCTGTTCCTATTTTTATTCGATGTTTATGTATGTTGTTACTGTCTATCTATAATCTGCCATTGGAAATAAGAAAAACTTTAATATATATATATATAATTAACAGTTTTTATTAGTTTTTTATATAGTTAACGTTGCAAATATTGGCTCCTGTTTACTGTAACCTTATATGTATTACATTGTCAAAAAACCATTTAAACATAACATGCTTAAAACGGGTCGAATTTCCTCTAATGTTGTTTCATTTAAAAACAAAATCAACCCTCTATTCTGTTATTAAATAAAGTAGAAAGAATAATCATTTCCATTTCAATAAAACTTTTAATAAATTAATGGAAAAAAGTCATTTATTCAAAAGTTTCTAAAGTTTCATAGTATTTCCCACAAATAATCAATGCAACCGGAACATTAAGTTGAAAATTTATATTTTCATTTCCCAGTATTACACAAGTCCATCAGCATCATCCACCAAAACTTTTCATTTGCGAGGAGGGAAGTTATCGTTTAAAGAAAACGTTATCCTTTCGTTTATTACCTCTGTACTTTTATCCCTCTCCAAGTTATTTTAGTATCCTACTTTGAATCTTCATTACGATAATGGAGGAGACTCAGAACTGAAAATTGTGTTTTATTGCTAATTTAGGTCAGGATTGACCAGCGTGCCGCATAATGCCAAAGTCCATTATAACTTCGCTAATCTGCAGAAAGACATAGGAAACGTTGAGACGGCGGTGGAACATTATAGAATGGCTCTCAGGTAAGGGTTATTAAATATTTTAAGAATACTGAAAAGGTTTGAGATACTGAAATTTATGTCTCTTTTCATGTAAGTGGAATGTTACGAATGGGGCGGTTGTATAACTTTATGTAAAATTGCGATGCTTGTTTAACTTAATATTTCATATAGTCAATTAAACGATATTTTTAAAAGATTTGTGAAACGTTGATTTGAAGTGAGTTAGGTTTGAGCTTAACTTATAATTCATATATATAATATGAAAAAAAATGATTATTTGATTTAGTTGGCAATATAGTTTTTGCCATATGGAATAAAGGACCAATATGGAAGTTTAAAGTCCAATATGGACCAATATGGAATATGGGACAGCATTGATAAAAAGAAATCCATTATAACTCCGTTCATCTGCAAAAAGGCAAGACCAAGGCGATTACAAAACGCTGAAGAATAGCTTTCGGATATAGGACTAATTATCCATTTATAAAATGAATAAAAAATTATTATTTGATTTAGTATCAACATGGTTTTCATAAGTCATATGGAATTAGTGTTCGCATTGATAAAAAAAATCGCTGTAACTTTGTTTATTTGCAAATAAATAGGAGATAGAGGCGATTATGAAACGTTGCCGAATCGCTTTGGGAAAAAGGTTGTTAAATATCTTAAATATATTGGAAAATGTTTCAGATACTGTAAATTTATGCTGCCTTTCCTGAAAGTTGAATGTTAAGAATTAGGTAATTTTCCAACTTTACGTAAAATAATAATATCTCCTTAACTCTACTTGTGACATATTTACCCAGAGCTCTAGTACAAAGTTCTTAAGAAAATGAAACATTATTTGAAAACTTTAATTGGAATTTAGGAACCTAAGAATCGGGCCTCTCAAGTCATATGAAGAATCCGACATTGCTTAGTATTACTTCAGTAATCCACAGAAAGTCATGGAAGATGATAAGGCGGTTGGACAGCATTCCAAATTTGCTCCTGAGTAAAGCTAATTAAATATATTCAAGGATAGTGTAAAAGTTAAGATGATGAAATTTATCTCCATGGAAACTGAATGTTAAGATTAGTGTTTTTTATGATATTTTGTAAGCTTGTTACTCCTGTTTTACTTGATGTATAACTTAATGTCAATCTAAATATTTTTTTCTAAAGAATTTGGGTAATAAAAAGTATTAAAATATAAAATTTCAAATATGAATTTTAAATGATGTAGAGTTAAATTTTAAAATTAGCATTTAAAATTTAATATTATTTTTTATATTAGTTTTTTTTCTTAGTTTTAATTCAAATGAATTACGGATTTTTAAAATAAGGCACTGATTTATAATTAAGATTTGTTTGTCAAAGTATTTGAAATAATTAGAAAAGGAAGCAATTACACAATGTTACGTGTTGTGCACGCATGCAACAGTTTTAAAAAGTATAGTATTTTTTTTCATCAATTGTAAAATCTGATTTATTAAAGAAGTTACGTTCATTTTAATTTAACTCCGGCAGGTGTTACCATGAATATAATGATATAGATAATAAACTTAAAAATTTCGACAAGTATATCGGTATTTTATTTACGTCGCACCTGAGCTGCACAATGGGCTATTGGCGACGGTCTGGTAATCATCCCTGTAGATGATTCGAAGACATGCCATCACAATTTTGATCCTCTTCAGAGGGGATGGCTCCCCCACTTTCTTATTTCGACAACTACTCTGTCTTTCGTAATTGGTTACTTGCGTTTATTACATAGTTTCTTCATGATTTTTAGATTGTTATAATTATCTTATAATTGCTATATTTATCTAATTGTTATAATGCTTTTTTAAATATATGTTTTATTAAAAAAACTGTAGGCAAAGTTTGTATACTTTGCTGTTTACTTTTATGTACTTCATGTAATTAATGCTTAGTTTTTAATTGCGTAATTTAGGTATAAAAATTTTTGATACGCGTCATTTCTCCGAAACCAGTTGTTACCCTTCCCCCAGCGTACTCAATGCTTGTTTTATGACCTATATATATCTTTTCAGAGTATGACGTATCATTTAGAATGTATTTAACAAAACAAAAAAATAAAATTGATAAGAGTATTATTTAATTTCTATTTTTTATGCGACTAAAATGTACCTAAAAGACAGCCCCTCACTAATCCCCCTGATGAATTAAATTTTAAAAAATGTTTCGAAGATACCTAACTTAAGTTTTGTAAGAAAGTACTTTCACAGTATTTTAAAATTTGTTCAAAGTATGATGCTTTCCGCACAACAATATACTTACCTTCCTAAATCACTAGAGAATAAAAATTTTAACAAATGTTTAAATGCTTTACAGCTAGCAACTAAAAACAACATCGTGGCATATTTTTATTTTCAACTCAACACACCCTTGTCTGGGGAATACATTTGAATTTATCAAATCAGGAAACTATTTTTACATTTATCATTATTACGCGATTTAATGAATTCAAATCTATTTTAAAAAATATATGAGATGTCTTTTAAAAAGAATAAGAGTGAAAACGAAGTAGTAGGTACCGTAAATGTATGCATATACTTCCAAAGGGTATGTCTAAAGGGAAAGTTCAAAGGGTGAAGATTGCCTTAGTTTTTTTCCCCTAGGTTTTCAGAGTTTGTATCGATTTCATGCATCTCACCTCGTCCAGTCTTCGTTTTTAATTGTGGTACTGTATTCTTCTCCTCAGCTAACGCACTGATATTCATCAAATTCTGAGTGTGTAGAATTGGATAATAAGGTTCTATTGAGTAGGATAAAGGATTTTATCAGATAATATGTTAGGTCTCTCGAACCAGAATGTATTCAGGGCTTGTATGGTTCTCAAAAATTTAAAACAGTGGTTCCCACATTGCAATAAAAAATTAAAGATTTCTTTCATTAGCTTGGACGTTAAAATTATGAAACGAAAACAAACTGAACGAAAACCATTAACAAACTGAAAGATTTCGTAACTAGATTTATTTTTTCGAGACATCAAATGAAGACTAATTTATCTAAATTCATCTTTTTTTTTCTTTCTTTTGCCATCAATTTTAATTAAGGATCATACAATTCTTGATATGTCAATACGTACCAATGAAAAGTGATCATGTCTTCTGAAATTAATGTTGAGATAGCTACCGAATTCATAGGATATGAATAATCATTTCATTATCATATACGAATAATCACTCGAAGATAATATTCCTCTGCACTGTAAAAAATGACTAATAAAATTACGGTATAAAGTAACGAAACTTTGAGTGAATGATCCGTAAAATCCCTTATACCGTATAATCTATTTTTACCAAAAATATTATGCAGTAATTTTTACAGTATCTTTATTTAATTACAGTTCCTGGCCAAATTATTAGACGTACTATTATATTATATGCAAAATCTTAACTATCAGGTGATACTATACAGCTTTAGTGTTTTTACGCGACTGAAACCGGTTTAAACTTGTTCATGTCCGTATATCAATTGGTTAAATTAGACGATACATAATATAAATTTGACGATATGATAAATCGGACGATATATTATATATATATATAGAATATTTATTATATCAAGCGTTATATTAGTCAGTCGAACTCGTTTATAACGAGCTCGGATTTAACGAGAACTCGGATTTACCGAGGGAAACGAGAATATTTGGTTGGATCAATGTTAAGCCTATGGAATAGAAGTCGCTTTTAACGAGCAAGACTCGGTTTTAGCGAGCAATATTTTTCTGTCTTGCAATCTTTTTTCTCATTTTTCTAGTGTTTCTGTCTTATCTTTTTTTTCAAAATGATAAGAAATGCGCGCGAAATCAAAAAAAAACCGCGAACTGAAACTTAGTGAGCTAACAAGCTACTTTTTTAAATATGTAGATTAATGAAAAAAATTAATGTTCTGGTAAGAATCTTTTCCTTTATTTTTCTTTCCGTTTATTGCTTTTTTCCTTTAAGACTGTAGCGCAACTAGAATTTTTTGATGGTTTGGGGGGGGGTTAGTTGTCATTAAATTAAGAAAAGTATTAAGTTAAATTAATTAATGTAATTAAAGTAAGTAAGTATTAATTAAATTACATGTAAACTCAATAATTTGACCTCCCAAGCACACCCCCCCCTCTTCTGATTTCACGCCTGACTTAAGGACCAATTTATTACGAGCACTCGGATTTAACGAGTACATGTTACGGTCCCTTTGTGCTCGTTATAAACGAGTTCGACTGTATATTAAAATAATTAGATTAAATTAATAGACCCACTGTAACTTTTCAATTATTATATGATTTGCGCGAGTTTATATACATTGCACGAGTACAATACATTTAAACATAAACATGATGGGTTTTTATTCAGAGATTTTTTATATACCAATACTTATACTATTTGTATTTATTTTTAACGTATTGCATTACAATGTTAACAAGTTGATACAGGAGCGCAAACAAATGCAAACCGGTTTCATCCGTGTAGAAACAATACAGCTGTATAGTATCACCTGATAATTATAATTTTACATAGAATATTATAGTGCGTCTATTAATATGGCCAGGGACTGTAGATTAATTATTGCTATAAAAATGTCGGTTTATAAAATTTTTTGTTCCGCAAAATTTTCCGGTAAAAACGAATTTTACAGTGAAAAGTATCGGTAACTAGAGTATCACTACTTTTCATCGTGGTTTTTTACAGTGATATGATGCTTTTTACTCAGGAAGAAATATTGGACTATATATGTGCTTTAAAGTGAAAGTTAGTTGAAAATATTTAACATATGCATTGGAAAATATCAGAACAATTGCTTCACGAAAAATATTTAACCCCTAAGTAGAAAAAAAGAAAAAAACTATAAAATTTTGCATATTTTTTACCTTACCAATTTGGAAAAGCAATGCTCCGTCTAAATTGATAAACAAGTTAAACTGCTTTCAGCGAAACTGCATCTACTGCAATAAATTAAAAAATATCATAGATTGTTAAACTGGCCATTTTTCCTCTAAGGCCATCTAACCTAGGCTTATCTTATGATTTATTTCAAAAATCAGCTAAGCTTGACTTCTATTACTGAATTTTAATGAACCTATCATTCTCACACTATTACTTAAAATGAGGGAATGTTGCGAAAGTGTAGAATATTAGCTACCCATAAGATACGAACTTTAGTGCTTAAAGTTTAATATTGCATTTTTACTATACGAAATGAAAATAATATTATAAACTACAATTGATTTAAAATCCTTTGGATTTTATTAATTTAAAATGACAGCTTTCATGATTATGATATGCATAGACATCTACATACTTGTAAACAATTTTAACTACCTTTTTTTCATGTTCTTTAAAGTTTACTATCGTAGTCTCCAGAAATTCTTCGCAATGTCTCATGCGAATAAATCATAGCTAAAAAACTATTTGAATCAAATGGAATTTTATCATATATGCTATTAAAAGCTTTATTATTCTATAGTACATTCATTTTTGAAAATAGTCTTGTTGAAAAAAATGTTAGTTGTTTTTTTGTCAATAAATATTGTCAGATAAATATTTAATTTATCATGCATGTTTCAGCAGCTTTTAATACAGGAATTTGCACAATAATAAAATTAAAGGATTAAGTTTCGAAAACAACTTTTTATAATATTCTGTCATATTCTATTTTAGAATTATATCAGAATAATTTTTTAAAAAGCAGCAAATTTTATTATATAATTAGTTAAACTTTTCAAAATACAGAAAAAACTGCGAAATGTAATGTTAAATCTTTTTATTAACTCCTTTTATTCGCAAAATAAGGTATTAAACATCCTATTCATTTGCAATTTGCATGCTTATTACGAGCGAAAAAACCTCATTTAAGTGGAATTAGGTTTTAAAAGAAATTATCGCTCTGGGACATATTCAGAACTCCAAATTATAGAAGATTAAAATGCTGTTTTGGTTATTTAATTTTTTTCTCCAAAATAACCCTACTTAGATTTTTTTCAATTTTTTTCACGAAAGAAGTTTTTGGGATAAATAATAAAAAAAGTGTTACATAATAACTTGGGTGATAACATGCCAAAGGCTTATCCGTTTAAGTTCTTTAAATTCAATTTCTCTATCTTCATTAAATTCTTTTAATCCTCTTTACATAATCCCCTATAGCCAGTTTTTGTTCCACATCTACCTGCTTAAAATCGTAAAAACATTTGATATTAAAAAAAAGAAACGAGTAAAAAGTTATTTATCTTTAAATTATACCATTTGATGTTCAAGACTTAGCGGATATCGTAAATGCAATATTTGCATCATTTCATTATTTAGAAGCATTTAATGATAAACAAAAAAAGAGAAAGAAAAAGCAAAAACAAATAACCGTTAAATTTTTTTAAATGCATGGATATTTCAAAATAACTTCGCTCACATCTGAATTTTGCTTTGTTCTTGTAAAAAAGGAATTTTTCAGGTAGGTAGGTATTTTATTTAAGTCGCACTAGAGCTGCACAATGGTCTATTGGCGACGGTCAGGGAAACATCCCTGAGGATGATCCGAAGATATGCCCTCGCAATTTTGATCCTCTGTAGAGGGGATAGCTCCCCTACTTTGGGAGCCCGATGACCCGCAAGTGAAGTCTAGCACTTAACGTAGAACAGTTAAACGAGGATCGATAACGTAAACACTCGGTCCCAACGCAGGCTTATCAGAGTGGTCACCCACTCGCTTACTGACCACAGTCAGCGATGCTTGACTTCGGTGTTCTACTGGAAACTGTGTCTTTACGATCAGTTCACTGCGTGGCAGAAATTTTATATGGTTACAGATACAAAATAGTATGGTTACAGATATGATACCATACTATTCTGTAAGTAAGGTTACAGGTACATAATTTTTAGATGACGAATATTTTACTCTATTTTATAACCGTCGTTGAACAGCCGACCCAATTTTATAGGTTTACGACTACTAATGTTCAACTACTAATGTCAGCCTTGTAATTTTGAACGAACCCAATCCAAAAAACAAGGGAATTCCTGGATCGTGTATTGGGAAAAATTTGATTTTGTGGAGGACTTTTTGATGGAGCTAAACCGCATTTGCGTTACAAGGAGAGGAAGACCACGAGAACCTCCCGCGGTTAGCCTAACGGCAAGGGACTAAATGACTAACTTTAATATATTTAATCTTTTTTCAATTATCACAGTGAAAAATTCAAATTGAGTTAGAACTATACATCTATCATTAATAACAGAAGCAGCTGAAAGGTCGAAAGAGTATTTATAAACTTTAAATTTATCTGTGATTCGGCTGTGTACTAAACGGTCTAATTGCTAAAAAGCAACAGGAAACCGGGATGGCTCAGAGAGTCATTCCAGAGACAAATACCCTGGTTACGACTAGTCAATTCATATGTAGCTCTCAGATCACTAACGGCCACAGTGTTGGCTAAATAAATCACCAATGGTAAGAGGGGGAAAAATTCTGGTAAAATTACTGTACTGTATAGTGATGGGGATTTCTGATTTTATAAAACTAAATTTTTGGTGAATAAAACCATAATGTATGATATTTAAGCTATTCATTTCAATAAATTTCCTTTCATATCGTAACGGTTTACCAGAAATTCTGGTTTCTAATATTGAAGTTCATATTACCACGCATTTACTAAAAAAAACACAAAACAGAAAAGTAAATTTAACGGAATAAATGGCTTCTTTGTCATGCTCAAAGGCATCGCGGTTAAGCAACCAAATTGTAACGCATGTACCAAATTGTATCATAAATTACAAAACCCTATTTTATAACTAATTTAACCAAAATCATTACCAAAGTGCTTCGGTAAAAATCAATGAGCATTTTGGTGTTCCCATAGAGCCAAAAACATTGTAAATTTTACCATATTTTGGTGGTTTTGATTTTTTTAAGTGTAGACTAGTTTTTAGTGATACCGTTTTAGGAATACCGTTTTAGTTTTTACCGTGGAAGGTTTTTTTGGAGGTTTTTGCAGTATGTAACGCAAATGAAAATTTGATAACCCTCGAAAAGTCCTCCACGTATGCAAGTTTCTCCTATTTTTTTAATCAAGAAGCTCCCTTGTTTTCTGGATTAGATTAAAAATTACAAATCTATGGAGTTAAAAACTTATGTAACTGTAAATCCAATATGGGTAGGCTAATTTTTATGGGTAGGCTTACATTTATGAAAAAATAAAATTTAAAAAAATGGGTAAAAATGATAGCAAAATTCCTTCATTTGAACAGTAACGATTACGTTTCAATGAGAAAAAGTTTTTGAATGAAAAAAATCTGTTAAAATTACCGTATTGTACGGTAATAACATTTCTGGTAAAAAAAAAAAACATAATACTGGTTATTAAAACTAAATATACGATATTTAAACCATCTCTTTGGTAATTTTTCCCTTTATATTTATCTGGTTTTCAAAATTATAGTTCTTAATACCACACATTTAGCAAAAAGAAATACAAAATTGAAAGGTAAATTTAACCGAATAAATGGCTTTGTTTCCCTGTTCTAAGGTATCATGATTAAATAACCAAATTGCACCACATTTTTGAAATTTTAATTCTTATTGTAAAACCATATTTCATTTTTAATTTCACCAAAATCATTACTGAAGCGCTTCGATGAAAATTACAGATTCTTTTGGTGTTGTCAAAGAAGAAAAAACACGGTGAATTCTTCCACATCTTGGTAGTTTTGAACATACTTTTTTTTCTCAGCGTATGCTTAGTCAAGTGAAATGTTTAAAGTTCTGTCACCGTAAACTGTATGAAGCCGTAAACGTTATTGAGTTGGATAAACGTTTTTGAGACATTTTCTTGAAATGCCCTTTCGAAATACTTGTTATCTCAAATGATATGCTAGCCAGATGGTTATATTTTGGCAAAGTTATTTTTAACCACGCTGCAACTTATATTAAAATATATTACTATATTCAAAATGCACAAATTAAAGATTTATTTTATATTTTATTCTATAACCGTCGTTGAACAGCCGACTCAGTTTTATGGGTTTACGACTACTAATGTTCAACTCCGTAGCCTGGTAATTTTGAACTGAATCCAGAAGACAAGGGAACTCCTGGATCGAGTATTGATAAAACTTTGCCTTCGTGGAGAACTTTTTGATGGAGCTAACCCACATTTGCGTTACATGGTGGAAGACCACGAGAACATCCCACGGTTAGCCTGACGGCAAGGTGACTCTAACCCATGATTTGTCTTCCACTGAGGATACTTAACGTTAGCCCTGTGGACGGTGCAAGCCGGATTCAGAATTTGTATCGACTGGGATTCGAACCCGGTTCGCCTCATTGGAAGGCTAGCGATCTATCCTCAAAGCCATCGTGGCTCAAACTAAACATTTAGTAATTTTTTGTCAAGCAACATATTTTTCATGCTTTGACATTTACTCAAAAAAAAACCATCATAATTTCTTTTTAATTCTAGTTTATGGCCAAGTCATGCCAGTGCTCATAATAATTTAGGCACTCTACTTCCTGATGTAGAAGAAGCAGAGCAGCATTTTAAACTTGCTCTCATGATAAATTCTCATCATCCAAGAGCACTTTTCAACCTTGCTTCCTTATATAGGTAAGTAAAATTTACAAATCTATGAAATTCTTAAAAGAAAAAAAACTGGAAGAAATGTGTGGTTGTATGATTATACTATCAAAAATATTTCTGAAAACGAAATTTCTCAAGTTTTTAGCTATATACTTCTTATAAGAGTTATTAATATTATCTGGAGTTTCTGAATGTCCATCTAAACTTTTTAAACAATCTGAAATTTTTTTTGGATAAGAATTTCTTGTTATTTTTGGCCTGTTACAAATTACAGTTATCAATTTGTGCTTTTTTTTCTATTTGTTTAATTTATTAATCGTTTTTTGTAGATTATTCAAACGCCACATTATCAATAGAAATATTTAAAAGTGCTTTAAAAGTATTACTAATGGCATTCAATAAATATTTTTTCGGGGAAAACTGCTAGTATAACTTTTATGCATAAAACTCATTTAAACAACATGTTACGCATTACTATAATGAAAAAAAATTCCAAAATTCTATTATGTGGGGTCGTAAAAGTGTAAAGATTGTTAATTTTTCAATAAGGACCTTTTAGAGAAATATGAAACGCGGTCATGGTACGCTTTTCAGGTCCTAGGTGATAAATGAAGTTTATTATTATTACACTGAAAAAATATTTCTGTAAAATATACGGTTTTAAATCGGAAACTGGGTTAGCAGTGCGAAACCATAATATTTATGATGTAAATCCATAACCTTAAAATTTTTTTGCCAGACAAGAACAAGAAAATCTGTTATCAGACTTCATTTTTTTACAGTAACAAAATAGTTTTTACAGCAAAAATAAATCTGTTGTCTCAACAGATTTTTACTATATGCGGAAAGATTTTCTTTCTGAAAGCTACGAAGTAAATCTATACTGATATTAGACGTGAATATTTACTTCGTCGAAATTTGTAACTACCAGTCATTGCTGGGATTCGAACCTGGGTGATTTAATTGGCAAGCACACGCTCAGTCCTTTGAGCTACAGTGGTTCAAGTGCTTTGTTATGAAGAAATTGTGATATTGAAAATTTCTTTTCAATATTGTATCAATATTGTGACAAAGTCGAATAGTAGTTTTACTTATACGATGCTCTTAATCAAAAAGCAATTGCTAAAAGAAAGTATAGAAAATAATGTTAAAATGATTGCAAAAAAATAAAGTTACCCGTATATTTCAGAACTCAAAACCGTATGTCAAAAAGTAGAATTTCAACTGACGGTAAAAATCCGTGTGTGTCTAGGGTGGAAAAAGGAGAAAAACCGTTTTGTCAAAAAAACGGTTTGAAACAGATAAATATACGGAGAAATTTCTTTTTAGAAAATTATTCTTTATAGTGCATTATTATTTTATTAAATTTTCTTATTGAAGCATAAAAGAAAGTGTTAAAAAATAGTTTCAGGCCATGTTTCCTTAATCCTTCAATATGTAATTCAATTTGTACTACATTTTAAAATTATTTCATGTGATATAGAAAGAAAAATTTTACAAAAATATATATAAAAATTAAATAAAAAGAACAAATACTTAGAAACACATTAATGTCATCTAGCTGGGTATAAAATCTGTTGTAACTTTGTATAAAATCTAAATCAACTGTCAATTCGAAAATTGGAATAATTAAAGACAGTGCCACTATATTCTTAAACTTTGCTGTATTCAAATTACAATCCTATTCAAATGTTCTCAAAAATTAAAGATTGCTCTATATTTTTACCAAATTTTATTTTTATATGAGATAAAAAATAAAATTACGCAAAAATATATACACGAAATGAAATGCTCAGAGCCCTTTTAAACACAATTGGGTAAATCATTCTCATAACTTTATGTAAAATTTATTTCAACTGCCAATTCGAAAATTAGAATAATTAATTAGAATGTCAAATTCTTAAACTTTGCTCTATTCAAACTCCTTTTATCTGCGACAAACACATTAAAGCCATTGTAACTGAACTGCTTCATAATATAGTGTAAAAATGAATAATGAAGGGTTTTGGCCACGTTCCGACCATCTCGTGTGACAGGCTACGAAATTGCATATTATTGTAAGGGTGTTTTATTGCCCATGAGTCTTATGGGAATAAGCCATGCGAAACATCAGACTAAAAATAAATATCTTATGTGGCTATGGCTTGCATCAAACACTTTTTTCTCCGATTTTTAACCAATTAGTTTAGTTTATGAATGGAACTATAATAGTTATGAAATGATAAATTAGAAGAGCTTATTGGGAAAGAGGTTCAAGTGACCTTTCTTTAAAAATAAAAATATAGATTTCACAGTAAAATCTTATCTATGTAAAAAAAATATATTTTGCCTAATCCTTAAATTTCGCTGGTCTCCGTTGATTATTTCTTATTTTAAACTTTTCTTGCTAGTAAGTTTTTAAAATGTAGGTAAAAAAATAAAATATAAATTTTTTTTTAAAAAATTAGCTAAATATTTATTAAAATATCGACATTTTACTCTTGTATACTAAGGAAAATATTAAATTTTATTTTCAAAAAAATGTTTTTAATTTTTATTTATTTATTATTCATTTATTCATTTAATATTTTTCATTTATTTAATACTTATTTATTTTTTAATATTTATTTTCATAATATTTATTCATTTATTTAATATTCATTTATTTATTGTAAATGGGAGAGATAGAACAGAATTTTCAACAATTTTTATTAATTGAGTGCCATCTACAGATATGCTCTGTTTTCTTTAGAAATTATATTTTGATTTATATTTCTTTTTAAAATTTAACTTCGATAACTAAAAAAATTGGTTTAATTTTAATGAGTTTTCTTGTAATTTCAAACTAATATTGATTTATATTATTTTCTTAAACTTATTGGAAAATAATTATTTAATATAAAGTATGGGTTAAAAGTACACTTTTTTCTTTTTTTGGTCATCATTTAGGTCATTTGGTCATCAACTTCAATAAATATATGAGAATCCAAGTCACAGAATTATTTACAAAATAAGACAGAATTATTTACAATATAAGACATTAGATATTTTCTGACACAGTTTTTCAAAATCTGATACGCTTGAGACACCTAACTTTTTTCATAATTAAAATAATAACCAAAGCATTTATCAAAATATATTTATAAAACTTTAAGTAGTTATACTAGTTATACCGGCAGTAAAGTTTAAATTTCATTAATATCGATTAATGAATACAGAAATTAATTTAAGACGAGAATTGTATTCTTAAAGTTTAACATAACGATACCATTAATGCTAAGTATTAATTTCAGAAGTACTTATGCGTTTTTAAATATAGTTATTACTTATAGTTATAATTTATTTTAAAGAAATATTTTCCAAAAGTAGTAAAAAAAAGTACGAGGCATTTAGTTTATTTAAATAATTTTTATATTTGTCTAATGTGTTAACGCTTATTCACAAAAAGAATTAGCATTACAATTTCTAATCAAATATAATATTAATATTTTAAAATCTTATTCTCCAAACACCTGAAATTATTTTTTCATGTATCAGTTTACTTATTTATTAATATCATTGTCTAAAAAATCATGGAAAATTCATCTTTATAGTAATCACTAAAATTATATGAAGATAAGTTCCAATTTTCTTATTAATTACTTTAAATTTGCTAACTTCTCCAATATTTGTAGCAATCCTATTTTTGTTATAGCTCACTACGATAAAGGTTTTATTTTTATTCCTCGAGTAACTGATACTTTATGTCAAAAAACAAATGCCATAAAATAAATAAATTCTTATAGATTGCTTTAAATTTGATATTTTAACCATTATTTACAATGCTATTTCTGTTCTCTCTCACAATAACAATGACTTTCCTTTCATTCCTCGAGTAACTGATACGTTCTGTGAAAGAACGAATACCATTAATCATCTTTCACCAGCTTCACTGTCTAAAAATATTAAAAATTCTGCCTTATAATTGCTACAAGTGACATAATATTCTCAGTTGAATTGTTGAATTTTCTAAAAAAATTTTTTTAAAAAAAGCATACATTTTCTTATTAAATACTTTAAATTCGCCATTTTCACTAATATTAACAATAATTCTGTTTCTGTTTTCTCTCAATAATAGCTCTCCTTTCATTCCTCGAGTAACTGATACGTTATGTGAAAGAACGAATACCTTTAATCATCTTTCATCAGTTTCACTGTCTAAGAAATATTACAAATTCTACTTTATAGTTGCTACAAATGACATAATATTCTCAGTTGAATTGCTGAATTTAATAAAGAAAATTTCAAACAAAACATACATTTTTTTATTAATTACTTTAAATTCGCTATTTTCACTAATATTAACAATAATGCTGTTTCTGTTTTCACTCAATAACAACTTTCCTTTTATTCTTCGAGTAACTGATTCATTATGTGCAAAAAACTAATACTTTAAATCATCTTTCGATTCATCAGATTTTTTTAATTTATCAATTTCACTATCTGAAAAAAACATTACAATTTCTACTTTATAGTTGCTACAAGTGTCTTAATATTCTTAGTTGTACTTAAAAAAAGCAGAAATTGTCTTAAAATCTTATGATCCTTGAAAATCCCTATGGAAATAACAGAACAGAATGTTAACAGATATCACATTGTAGCGAAGATTGGCGAAAATTCACCAATATTCATAGCAATGCTATTTTTGTTCTCTCTCACCACAACAATGACTTTCCTTTTATTTCTCGAGTAAGAGATACCTCAAGTCAAAAAACTTTGATATTCAAAGGCTTTCTGTGCCAGGAATCTGATCTAGCCTCCAGTAATAGCAGAACGTAGTTTGGCGAGAAAGGTCAAAGAAAGTATCGATTAACTAGAGTAACAGGATCGCACGAAGGCAAAGAAAGTGAGCTGTCAAGCTTTCGTAGTAGAAAAGGGGATAAAACACTCAATTACGAAATAAGATAGAAAAAAACTTAGATTTTATCCGCCAATGTATAGCCAACTGTTTCTAAGTTAACTTGTGATCCCTCTTGAGATTCTTCAACAGCAGGAATAACAGATTAGCCGGCGAGAAAGTCAATTTCCATTAACTCAAAAGAAAACTGTGTTACTTGAGATAGTGTAATGTGGTTTAAGGGGGATTTGCTCCAGCCAATTCAAGTTGTGAACAATTTATGGAGTACCCCAAGGACATACTATCCTATATATCTTCTTTGTTTTATGTACTTAAAAAAATAAGCGAATCTTAGCTTAATTTAGACATCCTTCTTTTGAAAGTAAAGTTTATTTGCATCTTATAAAGTTTGATTGGGAATTAAGAATAGGGAATTAAAGTTTGTAAGATCCTTTGAAAACAAGGAGAGGTAATTTAAGAGAGTAGTAAATAAAAATAGAATAAAATGAAACCGGAACTTTTTTTAAAGAATGCTAATGAACAGCAATTATTTAACTTCAAACGTAATTAAACTGAATCATGATCCATTGTTGTAAAAAAAGTTATTAATGATTCCACGAATCCATTTCAAACTGTGGTTTATTTTTACTTAAAGTAAACTAAATCTGTTAAATGGACGGAATTAAAAGTGGAAGCATAGTATTAGAACAAATCACCAGAGTATTAATATATAATAAAACAATTTTCCTAAATTTCTCATTTTCCATTATGTTGGACACTATAAAAATTAGCTACATAGAAAAAATTATGCAGGAAAGAAATTTTTCAAGAAACAGAGAGAGATTTCTTATTGTTTTTAGCCGTTATCCACCGAAATGTCAAAAATTTCCGTTTTTTGCAGACTTTCTCAGTATATTTGATGGCTTAAAAGCTGTTTTGTAAACAAAATGATTTTTTCTGTTTTTCACCCTAATCACAAACAGATTAAATCCGTCAGTTTAAATTCCAATTTTTGACATTCAATTTTGCTAACCGTACGATAACTTTATTCTTTATTTTCCAAATCATTTTGCGATTATTTTCTACCTTTGTTTTTACCTTCTGCAATTTTTTCATGGTTTTGAGCTTCGTATAAATAAAACTGCGAATCGACTGTACTGTCAAAATATTACTTTTATCGGATTAATAAGTTAGATATAATTTTTTGGTAAGTTAATTGCCAGACAATTTTATTCGAGTGAATCACTGTAGTTTTAAATGCTTTTACACTTAAGTGTGACTTCAATAAGACTTTTAAGATAAAAATAGTGAAAAAGTTTTCCTCACAATGAAAGTTAGAGCTTCGGTAGCTCAAGTAACAGAGCTCTCGTTTCCCAATGAAATGACCAGGTTCGAAATCCAGCGTTGACTGATCGCACGAATTCTGCTCACTGACCACAAAGTTGACATGTTTTTTTCTATAAAGTTTCGTTAAAATAACAGAGTTAACAATTGTTAAAATAACGGAGTTGGTTTGTTAAAATAACAGTAATTTTTTACTTCAAAAACAGGAGTCCTTTTCAAAATAACAGCGTTTTCTTGTGAGGTAAACGGCTTTATACTGCCACACCAGCTAAATTTTTTCCGTAAATTTAGCAGATTTTTTTTACAGGGTAACATTTTATTACTTTTTTATCTGATAATATATTTAAAATTACTGAATGCTTTTATCAAAGTTTATATAATGTGTTGAACTTGAAGAAAATAGGAATAGAAGCATAATTTTAGAGCATATCATCCGAGTAACAATGTGTTCTAAAACAATTTTCTCAAATTTCTTGCCATTCATTACAGTGTAAAAGTTATTAATGTTCCATCCTGATACAATTCAAACTAGTTCCTAATTATTATACTGAAGTAAATTAGATGTTTTAAATTTAAGGAAATAAAATTTTTGTTAATATTGTTGGAGTGCCGGTAGGTTTAAAAGCAATTTTCCTAAATTTCGCATCATCCATTATGGTGCAAAATGTTATAAATTTCTTATTTGATAAACTTCAAATTGTTTCTTTTAATTCCACTTAAGTGAATTAAATCTGTTAACTTGCTGGAAACAAAAATAAAAGCATGATTTTAGATCATATCGTCCAAGTAACTATATGTTATAGAACAATTTTCCTAGATTTCTTACGGCCCCTTATGGAGTTAATTTATTACTTGACAGTCTTCAAACTTATTTTTAATTTCACTAACATTAATTTTACCTCTTTAATTTATGAAATTAAAAATCGAAGTAACGCTTCAGTACAAATAGTGAAATAACCGTTAAATTATAAAACATTTTTCAAAAATTAAATAATGTTTTGCTCAACAATGCTCAAATGCTCAACAATGTTAATGCTCAACATAATTTTATTATGTTGAAAATCTCTCATGCTTAATAAACTGTAATTAAATTTTTTTCTAATATAAAAAATAGTAAGTAAACTTAAATATTTATCAGAATTAAAAAAATCGTGCTACTCTAGTATACAAATTTATTATTTATAAAGAATTAAAAAGCATAACTAATAACTAATAACATAACATAAGCATAAACTAATAGCTTGTATACAGCATATCGGAATAACATGAAATATATTTCTCAAATTGCTCTACATTTACTCCTGTAAAAAACCGTCATCAATTTACTCCCAGCATACTCTTAGCTATTATTTTACTTTATTCTATCGCAAATAGTTCGTACAGAAAATTTTCAAGAATGTAAAAATAAGAATAGGAAAGAAATACTTTTCGTAATCTTGTTCTCAATAGCATCGCTACTTCTAATTCTCTCCTATAACAAACTTTGGTTTCCTTTTATGATATTAAATTGTGCGTAAAGGAATATGCTAATGCGAGTCGGGCAACTCAAGTTATCAATCTCACCATTGTTAAGTCGCTTCTTTTCTTATTCTTCTAGCAAGCAGGGCCAAACACAAATCGCTCAAGAATTGTTGTATCGTGCAATAGAATTGGATGAAGAATTTATAGAAGCCTATTCTTCTTTGGCAACAATTCACGCAGAAGAAGGCAGAGATGATGCTGCTGAGGAACTTCATCTGAGGGCTTTATCCATGGATCCAAACAATGCTGATTCTTACAATAATTATGGAACATTTTTGCAGAAAACAGGTTGGTAGAAAATCAGTTTTTTGAATAATATATTTGGTGGAAAGGGCATTAGTTTATTATCATTTATTTTTAAACTTTATTTTATCAATGTTAGAGAATATCGTATTTTAATTTTTACACTCTTTGATTCGAAATTCTTAGAAATAAGGCATAATTCGGAGATAAAATCTAAAGATAAAGATATGTCTTAAATAAGATGTTTATTGATTTAAACATAATTCGGAGATAAAATCTAAAGATAAGATCTCAAGATAAAATCAAAAGATGAAATCTAATGATAAAAATATGTCTTAAATAGGATGTTTATTGATTTAAAGAAAGCACAACAAGGTTCCAAAATGCTATATAACATAGATGTTTTCTTTAAAAACAAATTTTACGAAGATCTATTTTCTAGTACGAATTTTTTTTTAAATTTTCTTTTTAAATTTATTGATTTTGCATTATTTAAAGAAATGCTAATTACTAATCTATTTAAAGAAATACTAAATTAAGGAACTAATTTTTTAGAATACTAAAATATTCTGAAAACTCAGGATAAGTCATAAACCAGATATTGAGTAATATAAGGAAAGCATAACATCGTTTCAAAATGCTATATGGCATTTATATTTTTCTTAAAAACTAATTTTATGAAGAACACTTCTCTAGTTCGAATTTTTTTAAAGATTTTTTTGAAAGTTACTGTTTTCGTATAACTTATGTATTATTTAAGTAAATGGTAAATGATTCGGACAACACAAATTTTTAAAACATAAAAATATCGATACAGAAAAATCTGAAAATCAGGATATGTCATAAGCCAATTATTGATTGATTTAAATAAACCGCATCGCTCCAAAATTCCAAAATGCTATATGTCATCTATGTTTACCTTAAAATTTTGTAGTCATATTCAGCTATTGATTGATATAAAGAAAGCACAACATCGCTCCAAAATTCCTAAATGCTATACGTCATTTATGTTTACCTTAAAATTTTGTGAAGAGCACTTTTATAATTTAAAAACTCAATAATTTTTTTTCACATTTATTGTTTTAGTATAATTTTTGCATTAATCTTTAGAAAAAAGTGAGAAATATTTCGAAACTTAATTTTTAAAATACAAAAACTACTTTACAAAAAGTCTGAAGATCATGATAAATTATAAAGAAGATGTTGATTGTGGTGTGCGAAAAAGTTTCATAAATTATGCTAGTGACTAAACCTATTTTAATTTTATGAATTGCATTAAGTTGTTTTTCTCAACTTCTTTTTTGGAAATAGATTATTTTAATTTTATTTGTAACTCTGCACTGATTATATAAGCAGCTTTTTTTCCCATATATTTAAAAATATTTTTTTTTAACTTAAAAATTTATTAGAATAGCAAACGTGATATACAAAATCTTGGTTAATATTTTGTTCTATAAACTCTTAGCGGAAACAACATGTTTATGTTAAAGTTCAAAATTGATTTTCAATCATTTTTATTCCCTTTTTGTAACTAACTTTTTCTTCTAAAAACAAAAATAGTTTACTTTCTGCTGCGTCAGCATCTTTCTAGGTTATCGATTTAAAATTCTATATTCGATCGAGTAGTGCATTTTTGATTAGATAGTGTTTCAAACATACGAAAAAGTAAAATAAAACTTTTACCAACCTCAAAGTAAAAAGGAAGTTTAAAAAGATTCAATAATGGTGAATGCTTGCGTTACACGATAATGTTAAAAGTTCTTTGATTTTTACAGCGAAACATTAGTATTCATATAGAATGCAATATACATAGCAAAGAATCAGCAATGATTAAAAATGCATATTTGACCATTGAGGAGGAGTTGCTCATGAAAAGTTAAAGATTTTTTTTCAAAAACATTAAATTGAACGTATGGATGTTAGCCAACTAAAGAGCATTGTTGAATTAGCAAAATATATCTCCATAGAACTCAGTAAATATAACAAGGGATCAGCAATGATTAAAAATGTATGTTCGGCCATCGAGAAAGACTTGCTCTTAAAAAGATAAAGAACTTTTTTTCACAAGCATTAAGTTGAACGTATGGATGTTAGACCAGTAAAAAAAAACAAGGTTGAACCAGAAAAATCATTATTGGACCATATATCGAGCACATTTACGGTAATCTTTAAAACAGTATTCAATTGAACCTGTTTCAGTACAAGTTGAACCAGAACATCGATTGATTTACCTTAAGTGAATTTAACTTTAACGATAATATGGTTCAACTTGGAAACTTATAAATTTATAAAGGTTACATTAATTTTGTACGATATATAATGATACAATAGAATACAAAATTTTGTGTTTTTTTTAGAGTAAACTCTCAAAAGAGAGTTAGGGTAGTCGTAATCGAGATAATGGGATCCCAATACTTTCGCCAGAAAAATAGTTGATCAGTTTTACTATTTTAAAGATTTTGTTATTACCTTAAACATAATGCATCTTGTTAAAAAAAATTAAACGCGCTAAATTAAGCATAGGAACTGCACTGAGAAAGCAAAAGTATAGGCAAAATTACCAGAATATAGTATAATTTAAAATGTTTCTGGCTCTATAAGCTTTAATATTTACAGAAGCTCTTTGGTAATAGTTTTGATAAAATTAACAATAAATACGTCTTTTTACCATATAAATGTTTTTTACTATACATAAATAGTTTTTTTACCATACGTTTAGTAGTTGCTATAGTGATACGTTGAGGTAAAATTTGGTTAATTTTATCGTGATATCTTAGAGCCTGGCAACAAAAATAAATAAATAAAAAATATATAAATAAAAAATATATAAATAAATAAAAACATTTATTTGGATAAATTTACTTTTCAGTCTCGTAAATCATTACTAAAAGTTGGGTGGCATGTCGTGGAGGGGGGGGCACCTGTTGGAAAAGTAACAAAATTCAATGAATTCGAATTAAATTGAATAATACTGATTTCTTTTTCCTTTTTTTCAAGAAATTATATGAAAACACAAGGTTGAAAATAAACAAATTGAAGTATACAAGTTATTATATCCCTTTTTTATTTTATTTTTACTGTGGTAAATTGCTGGCCCAAAGAAAGATGTAGAACTATAATTTTGAAAACCTTAAATTTTGGTAAACTGTTTTCATACGAAGGAGAAAAATACCAAATGAATGGTTTAGATACCATACATTTCGGCTTTATTAACCAGAAATACGTTGCTTTTTTTTACCAGAAATCCATAGAGTTCGGCATTTTTACCAGAATTTTTTTCTTCATGTACTAAAAACAGTAATAATTATTAATTATTAAAATACGGGTTAAATTATTATTTTTTTCTTTTACTAGTAATATCATTACCAAACAGTACCGTACATTTACCAGAATTTTTTTTCTCCGTGTGAGCTTAGATTTTAATTTAAATATTTTTCTCCTTTTCTATATTTATTTAATGTAGCGCACATATAATCTTATAGTATTCGTTTATGCCCTAAAAAGCTATAAAACATCTTCTTAGACACTTTCTCTATTATGTAATTTCCGATATGACCTTCATTTTAGCAATCTGGTGTGCTTAACATCCCAAACTACTTGAATAATCGTCACCACTTTACCTTCTATTCGGATGAAGATTATATTCGCCAGCGAAACTTAAACACACCCTCTCTCCTGTATTCTATAGGGGTGAATTACATTTTTAGACCACACCATCACTATACCACCTGGGACTAATAGGATGAAAAAGCTAGTTTCTTTTTCGAACTCCGTACTGCTCACCTTTCTACACGAACTGCAGAATATCTTGAAAATTGATTCTGACTGTCATAAAAGTAATTGAATTTGCATGGATCTCGACTCAGATACTCCCTTTTTTGGAAGAAAGGAGTATTATGATACGCCTGTCTTCTATTCTCAAAAAGAGTCTACAGAATGTATTCTATGAAGGAAAAAAAAGTTGCCAGCCAATTTTTCTGGCGTTGAAAAAAGACGTATGTGTACAGTTTCTTAGTGTTTCGACACTTATTTGATGCAGCTAAAAAAGAATTTTCTTCTTTTGAAAAATATACTTTTTACGTGTTTCTTTAAACAGTTTGTTCGAAAATATTTCATTATATACATAAATATTTTTGCATTCATTGCATTTTTTAAAAATAAAGATATATCTTCAAAAAGCGAAGCAATTTTGTTAAAATCTTTTTACGCAACAAGAAAATGAATCTGTTTCTTTTTTTTACATCCATCGTATTTTCAGTTACTTCGTAGTGCTTCAAAAAAAAATGCATGACACAATATTAAATTACTATGAGGATTATTTCGTTTATTATTTTATTATTCTATACTTACATAAAATTTAGTATGTTTCCTCTCAATAACAATAAGGTTTTAAATTTAAAAATCAATCACATCAATATTCTAGTACATGCCACTGAATCAAAGTAAGTAGCTGTGTTCAGTAACAGTTCCAATAACTAGCAAAATTCGATCTCTTAATAAGAACTTAAATATTCCCACCTTTATATTATAGTCTTAAGCAGGCACGATTGATCTAAAAATTTGCTCACAAAATGTAAGCTAAAGTTTTCAAACGTAAAAATAAAACTTTTTTGCTAAGCAGAAACTACATTAGCAATATATTTTCGTTTCATTTTATAACCAGTGATAAATAGCCGATCTAATCCGGATTCGTGACTATATCAGTAACCGGTGCAAGCCGTGGGGAATGTATAAGCAAAGAATATACACAGAGAAAGAAGGCTAGCTTCCATAGACATAGTATAAACCAGACCCCAAGGTTTGGTGTGATTACTGTGTATAAAGGAAAAAACAACATTTAGGGGACAGCAGCATAAGTTCTTGAAACGGGTTTGCACCCTCTTCTCCTGCCAACAGCTACTAAGATTGGGGAAGAGTTGAGGAGAAGAAAAGTTTTCTCGTTTTATTTATTGTTGGCTGGTTTAATATTTTTACACTATTGATGAACAATACTGTACTATTAATTAGGATATTTCTTTGAGATTGCATTTATATCATCCATCTTA